CAGATTTGAAGTACCCGAACTATCATTTGATACTGTAGCGGCCATTCTTGCAAAGATAATATTCAAATTGGTTTACTAGAGTGTCATAAAGCAAGTTTAATCCATTTGCGTTGACTAAACTACGGTTATCAACAATAAGAAGGTTGATGGATGAGGATTTGAGTCCCAAGTAATCAGCGGGTCTAAAGCTTTGGCCATACTTTACCCGTGTTGCCGGTGTTACCAGTGTTACTCGTGTTACAAGTGTTGCCCGTGTTACTCGTGTTACCCGTACTCGTGTTACTGGTGTTATCCGTGTTACTACTGGTGTTACCCGTGTTACTACTGGTGTTACCCGTGTTAATGGTGTTACTGGTGTTACTAGTGTTACCGCTTTTATAACTGTTGAATAGTGAAATGATCACAATAAAGTCTCATTTTGAAACGCAATATCACTGACTGGTGAGTAACACTAGTAACAAGAGTAAAACGAATAACAGGGTAACACGGTAACACTAGTAATACCGATAACACGGATAAAGTATGGCCAAAGCCTAACAATGCCTTGCCCAACTTCGTACAACGAAGCGGTTTGTGATATATCACAGGCCCTATCTCCTTTTAGGGCCGCATGCACTAACCTCCCCGCTGGGGAGGGGATCGCAGTTTAAAAGAAAGCTTTATATTTCGAAACTCCAGATACCTGGATTTCACATTGTGTACCTATCCGTAAGTATTCCTACTACCCCTCACTATGAACATGTTGAAGAGGAGCGAGAAGCTGTACGAACCGCATTTTCCAGCTTTTGTATGATCCGTGATGATCCCCGGCGCTTTTCTTTGAAGTCATTTTTCTTTCTCCGAAGTTAACGAAAACTTTCCAAAGCTGTACTGAACATCTAACACAACAGTGCTAAGTATGTTGCTGATGAGAACAAATGAGTTTTTGGAAAGTCGAATTTTTCGGTAAACCTCAAATTTCGACCTGTGGTTCATCGCAAATTTCATGACTCCGATACATCACTTGTTCTTATCAGCAACATGCTAACCAGTGTTGGGTTAGATAATCTGCACAACTTTGGAAACTTTTCGTTAACTTTGGAGAAAGAAAAATGACTTCAAAGAAAAGCGCCGGGGATCGTCAGGAATCAAACAAAAGGTGGAAAACGCGGTTCGTACAGCTTCTCACTCCTGTTCAATATGTTCATAGTGAAGGGTAGTAGGAATACCTACGGATAGGTACACAACGTGAAATCCGGGTATCTGGAGTTTCAAAATATAAAGCTTTCTTTTAAGCTGCGATCCCCTCCCCGCGGGGATGTTAGTGCATGCGGTCCTTAGAGGCATCGTCAAAGGATCAGATCAGCGCAGATCGGATACTCATGGGGCCCGCTTCACAGCTATTTGCTAATCTGGATGAGTGAATCTTGCCTGGACACTGCCTTTAGAAGGGCTTTTCATAAATGAAGCTGAATGTCTGCTTGCATGTTTGTCTACGTACAGAGCTTCTCAATCACTTCCAGTCGATTGAGGCTTCGCCTTTCCCACGCTCGCCCGGGGAAAGTGCTCAGAGAGCATATTCCGCGGAAGAGACGCAGAGTCCAATGGGGACGGGAATGGGGATGCTGGTGCACACGACACTTTAATTGATAAGCTCTGTATGTTCCGAAGAGAGAAAAAAATAAAATAAAAAATAGACAAATTAGACAAAAATAAAAGACAAACACGATAGACAAAAAAGACTAAAATGGACGAACTCAGCACAGATTACATTTCGGGGCGGAGCAGGTAACGTAGGCTGTTTTTTGTCACTGATCGATATCGATTTTATTGATGTATTTGCAAAGGTTCGCTACGAAGCTGGGAGTTGGCACATGGGAATAAGTGAGCATGTCGATTACGAATATATTGTTGACAAGTTTGCCATTAGAACTTAATGGTATAGGTAGGTTTTTTATCAAAAGACAAGCACATAGAGAGATGGAAGAGCGTTCCTCCCAAGAGTAGGAGGGGAGGCAACAGAGTCTTAGGTCAACAATAAACTAAACCGACGAACTATCGCTCGAAATTTGGAAAGCCTCCGTTGACCGTTTAGCAAAGTTAGTACCGGTCAGTACTCTTGAGAAGATATCTGGACCTAATCTGGGCAGCTAATCCGAACTTCTGCGAGCCTTTCTCATCTCTACCTTTTTTACCTCTTTCATACCCTGCTATGAGGTCAAATCGTTCTCTTCTTTTCCCCTTACTAAGGACGGGTGAATACGAAAATTTACCACCTAATATTCCTCCCCTCTTGGAAGCTGCTTCGGCAGCAGCTGCAATTTTCCAAGCTTTGCGCCGGAAACAGGGCCAGGAACGGTTTTAGAAGCAGGCCAAACTACTATTTTGGACAAAAAACAAAGGAGGTATCGTAAAAGGCGGTATGCAAGCATAGAAATAATCATTCCAACGAATACATGCTTCAGAAACAGGTTACTACACGATACACATGCTCCACCTATTCCTTCTCAAATTTCGCACGTTTGAAGGCTGAAATAAACAAATGGCTTGTTCAAAGCGGAAAGACAAGCATACGACTTTGCTTGGGGGCGTCTTGATGCTGACTTATCCTGTACTCAGGCTGAAACATTGGCTTAAGCAAAAGGCAAGATTTACTCATTGCAAAGGGCAAGATTTACCCTTCGCTTCAACCAGATCGGTGGCTGGAAGGCGGGGCTACGTGACCTGGCTAGGACGTGACCATGTTGCGAGGGAGGGGCAGACTGCGTCGGATGCGCGAGCAGTCGCCTCTTAGGTCATAAAGATTCGCCTTTCAGCAGCCGATCGGTTGAAGCAAAGGTAGGACAATTTGTGTACACCGCAACTCATATGTGATCCATTCTTGGCTAAGCATCTCAAATTTGAACTTTAATCCGAACTGTACTGGGGCAAGTGAAAAAGGATGAATGGTTTGTTCGCAAAGAGTACAATTTAAACCGCGGTTTAGATTCACGAACGTTTCATATAATTGGCCCAAAAGAAGTCTTAGTATCCGTTTGTGGTTGTTACTGCCAGAGCTTGGATTGTTTTTTCCTCTTCGAGAAAAAAACAACTCGAGCTCTGAAAGTAACAACCACACAACGGATACTAACAAGGAAACGATACTTGGTGTTTGTGGCCTTTTGAGTTGAAATGTATACCATCACACTCGTCTTGGAACGCTAATTCCGAATCTGGCTTCCGTTTCTGCTAAACGTTTCTCTAAAAGGAGTTATAAAGGATTTTCGCGTCAATGGTCGCCCAAGAGAAATACCGTCGAGGATGCCTAACTTTCAAAAGGAAGTTTAATTGAGGCAATGCAAAACTGAAAAACACAAAAGAAGTCGAACCTAAACCTGCATTAACTTGTGAGGCTATCGCACTCCTACACCAAGTTAGCGACGGTTTTGGCATTCCGACCACATTTCCTTTGACCCGAAAATTCTCCATAACTTGTTTCAGAGAAACGATTAGCAAAAATTGAAATCAGATTCGGAATCAGCGTTCTAAGGAGAGTGTGATGGTATATATCTCATCTTAAAAGGCCACGGACACCGAGTATCGTTCCCTTGTAAGACTCTTGGTCCTTAATATTCGAGTACCTGCTGTGGATGCACTTGCGCATTATTTATGAAAGACAGTTTGGAAACGAACTTTTAAAAGCTTCCAGTAATCCAAGAGACACACTTGTCAGTTTTTCTAAAGATCAATGTTGCTATCCTTTTTTCATCGACCGCACGGTCTAACCGTGTCTACAGCGGCTGCGGCTGAAATGCTGGGAAAGCACGCCTGTACTATTGCGGTTTGTACTCGGTCCAAACTTGCGCAGTAATGGAAAGTCGGCTTACAAGAAATCAACAGTATTTTATTCCCCGTCCCACTTCAAATACTTGCTCCAGAACTTTGGATGCCAGGGGATTGCGTGGGGCACAAATCGAGACTTTCTTCCCTTTTGCGTTTGGAGAAACGGTCAGAAGGCGCGACTGGCGTTAATGCTTCGCAAAGCGATGTTGCAGCGAGACGTCAACAATACGTAATACAGACGCTTGTACTGTTAATTATGCATCAGGTCATGTACCCTTTTCCAACATTACTCTAGTCTGCTGCGTACGATTCCAAAACGGAGATTATATGAACACATATTCTGAGCGAGGCGTGCCAGCAAAGCAGCCCCGCGCGCGTCGTACCTCCGAGCTCTGCACCATGTTGCGAGGGCAACTTTGAAGAGTCTTGTTTCAAGGCTTCAAGGCGATTTAGAAAACGGCTAATTTTCTCACAAATTTTGGAAATAGAAAGCTGTCAGCATTAGCTCTAACAAATTCTTTTGCTTTTTTGCAATTTTGAAAAATTCTTTTGATGTCAAATATTAAGCGTATGTATTGAGGTGGAGCATATATTGACGAGTCCTTGCACCTGGGCTTTTCATGGTAATCTGCGAATGAATCATGTAATGTCGATAAATTGCTCAACTGAGGCTTAGCTGACTCGTTGTAGACTCAATTGTGGTTTTCCCAAGTTGATTTGACTGAGGCAGCTTTAAAATGGGTCAAATATAACTCATTTCACAAATTGCTCTGCAGCAAGAAAAGAGGATTTTGAGATTGACGTTTCTCAGCTATATACATCGTTTTCTTAGGCCTAAGGCATACCTCACGCGATTTCAGTCGCTGAGCGATTCGGCACGGAAGCGACTGTTCGTATCTGGTCGTTACCGCCCTTTGTATGAACAGGACCTGATCTGTTTGCAAGAACTTACAGAACCTACACGCTTAAGCATTTGGAAATCGCCCACGACGAATTTGTGAAAATCTGGCAGGACGCCAAGTCGCGCGGACGTCGCGATTTGGTCAAATCGCGTGAGGTATGCCTTAGGCCTTATAAGCTTCGACCAAATATTCTCCCCTTGTCAGTCACTTTCTGTTCATCCTCTCAAGTTCATTTGAAACATTTTCTTATGCATTAAATGGACATGTAATAGCATAGAAACAACAAAAGAATAGTCTTCACAAATGCTGTTGTCTACATGGTTGCAAGGTTGACGAGGATTCGTTTTCCGTCCTATTGTTTCCAGGATTTACGTTGGTGCTCCATATGTTGACGTCATCAACATTCAAATTGTCAGACGAGAGCGTTTGTGTTTTTTGTGGTTTCGGTAGTGAAGTACTTTCCTCTATTTCATTAATTACTATTATATCACGCTGAAAGAACCTACGATTATAATCTCTTATCATAAATTTTCAGCTCAAGAAATACCTTTTCAACCGCACATTCTATACTGTAATAGTCTTTCTGGCTATCCAGCTTCAAGTAATTATATTCTTCAGTGATTTCCTCAAGCTGAGTAGCTAACTTCTGGCGAATTGTCGAAATATCTGGTCGTTCCTTAGGTTCAAAACGCCAACATTCAGTCATTAATTCATAGCTATAAGCGTACATACACTATTTCGAAACATTTTGAAAAAAAGATAAACTTGCAATTGTTCGGGGCAGTTGTCAGGCCGTTCCATTCGTCTTCCACTTTCGAGATAATGGAGCAGATCTTTGGCAGGAGTTAGTGGATAAGGAGAACCGCCTAACGTGATGATTTCGAAGAGCAATACGCCGAATGCCCATCTGCAGTGTAGTGTGAGGCAAAAAGTTACTTACAGTCATATGTGTCATCACAATCTGACGATAAGCGACTTTGAAGCTCGATAAAATCATAGCGGTGCTTGCATATCTACCGCCGAAATTTGCTAGAAATTTCTTTGCCCCAAATCGAAAAACTCTGGTATGCTAATTGTCAGAAAGGTGACATATAAACGCAAGTTTCTCTTGGTTGTCAGGGCGCACTCATTTCTTGTTTCAAGATAGTCGAGCAAATCTTGGCAGAATCAAAACAAAGGAGAGCGACGGTATGAGAGTCTTAAAAGCTGATAGAAATGCCTACCTGCAACAGATGTGATTTTCATAAGTTACCTGGGTCGTGAATGCAAGTGCAAGGAAATCCTTGTTTGTTAGTAATTTGGAGTAAATTCGAATCACTGAGTTCATCTTAAGACGCAAGTATTTACTGTTAATTAGAAAGAGTGTCCTGAGTCCGAAAAACTTGAGAGGACGATTGCCTTGGGAAGCGGCGCTAAGTAACAATTACTCAATCCGGTTCAAGATAACACTTGAAAAAATCAAGTTTCTATTTTTTATGTAGCAAGGGCGTGTAAGGCTTATGAACAATCGTTATGCTTTTCGTCAGATAAAAATCTGAATGCATGCCAGCTTGGATATCTTGTAAAAAATGTTTTCACGTGAAAATAGCCTTTTGAAGCGCAAAGTTTGTAGCCAATCAAATTTCTGTCCTCAAAATCGGGTCTCTTTCTAGAAAAATCTCACAGACCTCCAACTTGGTCGGTATTCACTGATACATTTGCTTTCATGGCTCAGAATCATGAAATATAATAAATTTAGAGCGGACATGCAAAAATCCACTTTTTTGGATTTTGTAATGTTTAATTTAGTATTTTTCATATTATTAGAGCTTAAGAGGTATGATTTTGAATCATATTAGGTTGATCCAAAAGTTCTGTCACTTTAATCTTGAAAAATATGTAACTGCTCCCTATGTGAACTTAATGACTTACAAAAAGCAGATAGATTTCGTGGGCTGCTCTTTCTAAAAGTGCCAAGTAAGTTTGTGCTGATCGAGCGTTTTTATAAAAAGTTATGATTTCAGAGAAAAGCTCGATAAACACAAGCTCGCAAGTTAGAACGAGCAGCTCACGTGAAATGTAGGAGACATGTTTTAAAATTATTCTGCAACGTTTTAAATTTTTATTTATTTTTTATTTCCAAATTGGGAGTTTGAGTGGCACTCCTTTTCTAACTTTTATCCCTACAGTGCCTTCCCATTGAAGAGCCGCAAAAATGCTATTACAAAGACGAATTTTTCTATTTGGAAACTATCACAGGTCAATACGTACACATAGGAAGCAGTGCGAATTATTCACCATCAAAGCGAAGAAGTCTTAAATCAACCTAATATGTACTTAACAAGGCTTGCAGTATACAATCGCATACGTGGGAGAAGGGGCGGCCTGGGCACTTTCGAACTACCTTTTTCTCACAATTTTTTAGCGCGAATTTTTTAGCAAAAACATTTATGGATATTTTTATGTATCTTCTAGATGATAAGTAATCTGGAAACTCGTAGAACACTTTCTAGCGAAAATTCAAATTCGGCGATAAAATTTTTTTGGTATTGGCCCCAGACTTTACCAGGAGTACGACTTAGTGGTGTGTTGGTTACTATGTGAAACTTGCTCTACCCAACGCCCTACTCACCCTTTCTTAGGAAAACAAAACAGTTTAGTTTATTTGGAAAAGGATTCTGGAACAGCCTAATAGATTTCCATAAATTAACACAAGTCATCATTTCTAGTAAAAAGTAGAAAATTAGTCAAGAAATTAGTCCTCGACGTAACGAAGGCCTTTGCCACATTCCTGTCAGCTTTTCAATCTCAAATTTACAAAAGCCAGCGCGCCGGATGGCAAAAAAGTCATTTAACCAGCGCTTAAATTACTCTTTCAAATTGAGACATGCACCGTTCATAAGGTTTGCGAGAGACCAAAACAAATGATAATCTGAAAGAGCAAGATTGGAGTGGTTTGGGTACGGTAGCGCCTTCTAGTCAGATCTTGCAGAACAGCTTCGACGACGTTTGCCATATGGGAGCCACGTTTTGTCGTGTAGAAAAACTCAGTGGATCTGCATATAGGGCTCTTCCTGTAGTATGACCCCGTTTAGACGATGAAGTTGCATTGCATACGGTACAGTCGAGTAGATTTCCTGCTTGATATAGTGTCCCTGCAGACGCGACAACGCTGGGGCGTCAATAATTGCCTTGCGTGTTTCCGAGTGAATGTTTTCTAGTGTTTTCTTATCTCATTATTTCTCTTTTTAGGTAAATCGTTACTGATAAAGGAGAAGAGGGTAAGTTAGAGGATAAAGTCTGTTTTCTGAGTAGCTATTTCATCGGTTAATCTCAGATATCCATGTAGAAGCTGATCGCATCAGTTTCATGCGTATTCTTCCCACTTCATGTCTCTTTCTTCTGGTGAAGTACTTCCTTGAACGCTTAAGATTGACTTATTGTCTCTATCACATGAAGTTCTCGCTCTAGTGATTTTTCTTATGGGTGAAAGCCGAAGTTGTTACAAGACAAGCCAACTAGCGTTCAAAGAAACGTCTCACAAGAAGAAAAAGGGTTGAATTGACAAAAGGAAAGAAAATGACACAAAAAATAGGCGTAAAACTGACGCGAACTGCTTCTACGTAGATATCTGTGAATATGCGATGATGAAACTCCTCAGAAAACAGAAACTACTATCTAACTTACTCTTTTCCTCTTTATCAGCAACGAAATACCTGAAAAGCAAAGGATAAGCAAAGATAACAGCGGAAAACATTCGTTCGGAAACTCGCAAGGCAATTATTGACGCCCCAGCGTTGTCGCGTCTGCAGAAACACTATATTAAGCAGGAAATCTACTCGACTGTACGATTAACAGTCTTCTTCTTGTCCACTATTTTCAGCGCAAAACTTCCCGTCCATCTCTCAAAAAGCCTTCTTCAGGGACACACTGTTTAACTTTTAATCTTTCAAAGCAAGCTAACCTCGCCAGATCAGGATGTAGAAACCGAACGACCAGTAGTGCGCTGCAGCTGCGCTATGAGTGAGTAAGTCTACTCACTCATAGCGCAACTGCAGTGCACTACTGGTCGTTCGGGTTCTACAAGCTAACCTCTTTTTCTCCTAAACTGACGAGCGAACGCCACTTTCCGTAAATGCTAACAAAGTGCAAAAAACGCTGGCTTTTTACATACGCAAAAATCATCAGATGTCGAAAATGCATCTTTTTGTCTTATGAGATTTCCATCTTTGGAAGCTAAATCGGAGTAGATTAGCTTTCCATCGAATCAGTTAGTATATTTCAAATTGCGTGATCAGTATTCATTGATATGCACAATTTCGTAGCGTTTTAAAACTCTACGAAATTATGGAACGATATGATAGAATGATTTTATGGCAGGTGCTTTAGTTATAGTTCCATTGTTTGGCTCAAGATATGCGCTCCATAGTTATTCTTCGCAGAATATTATGAAGAAAAAAAAAAGAAAAAATCGGTTATGTGAGTTCTCTTTCTGCTAGATCCAATCTAAACGTAAAGGATGGTTTGGGCTTCTCCCATAAGCATCCGTTCTTGATAGATCGCCCCGAAAGCGTTTTCGTATCCTTTAAGTGCCACATTCATCAGAATTAAGATTCGTCGAGTATGGCTGCATTGAAGCAGTTTTGTCTTCCTTTCTTCATTTTAAGTTTTTACGTTAGAATCTCTGAATATTTTTCATAAAGGTTTTGCAATTCTCGACTGTCTGTGGCCCCTTAAATTCAACATTTCTCTATCTTGTCATCTTCTGCGAAGATTGATTAGTGTGCGATTAGATCAAGCCTAAGGCTTAAGCCATACCTCCCACGATTCCAGTACACGGTCCCAATTCGGACTATTTGAACTTGCACGAGTGCTTCTTCTCGCATGAAAATAATGGCCGTGAAGAATTCCATACAATCAATCCTTGGAAACTTACGTAACATACGCTAAGTATCACATTGTGGGATGGTTTCCGTATGTCCTTAGCCTCTGTGTTAGCCTACACTTACTGTTCACTTACTCGCATTGCAATAATGTTCTCCTGTTCTTGTTTAATGAGCACAAGTAGACAATGAATTTCGATTGTCTTTGTGGTTTTGAATCAAGAGATGTGCTGTCTCGGTTGCTCAGGCATATATGTATAGTCCTTCGCAGAATGGCAGACAAAAACTCGCAAAGTCCTTGTTATGGAAATATACCTAATCAAGGTTTTTTAAATGGTTAATTACAGGCCTTACTATTACAAAGCGCTAGCGCACAGGCCTGCCAACTGAAAAATTTTCAGAGGTCTATAAATTAGTAGTCGGTTGCATTGTAGACGACCAAAAATCGTGGCGACTGGATCGCTGGAGGTATGCCTTAGGTCTAACATATTTCCTTCTTACTACTGGCTAAACTTTAGTTTCTGAAAATGTTTTTCTCAAGAAACGACAGTTTCCAGCTCCAGTTCGGTACATGGTAACCCCGATATTCCAATTTCAAATTTAAGATAGCGAATGAAGCATGGTACTGCATAAACGAAATTTCACAGAAACAAAACTAACACTACTTTTTAGAATAAATTTAGCAAGAGTCTTGAAAACTGAAGAGATCTTGCGAAAAAAAACTTGTATCCAGTTGGGTTTCCTCTGTCCATCCTCGTCTGCTTTTTTAAAGGGGGGGGGGGAGAGATTTGATTTTCCAAGGGCTCGTTGCGCATTTAATGAATGCATGACCTCTGAAAAAGGTCCGAGCATAGATGGTTTCGGGATCTCGGTGCCTTGGGAAGTGGATAACATCGGACCAGAGGTTTGATGGGTGGAGCCGGGCCTCCAAAAGTGAAGGTGGTCCCAGCTATCACTGGCCGGCAAAAGTTAAGGTGGTAGTGCTAGACACTCATCTCCCAAGAATTTCGACCGGGGGGGGGAGGGGAGCTTTGAAGGTCATGTC